CTTCGATGTTTTTACCAGATATTCTAAGAAGTGAGGACACAAAAGTGTTAAATTATGTAATAAAAACCATAACCTACTTATTCATCATGCATATTATGAATAATGCTTAAGCCAAATTATTTTTCACTTTTTGATCTCGGTTTATTAAATTCGAATATTACCGTAAACCATGATATAGAAAATCATATTAAACTCACTGTCAACCTGTACCTACGTTTACCGACGAAGGAAAAATGTTATTAACTTCGTAATATTATAATTAAATTAGTAAAACTTGTTAGGGCTGTTTAACGGCAATACACTTATTGTTGTTAATGAAACTAACATATTGTTATATTATTATATTATGTCATCATAATATATACAAGTCCGATGCAGCTGTTTCCCTGGTAATTATTGTAAGTTAATTAAACTACTAATTTTTAATGTTATATTCATCAAATATTATCATCGTCGGTAAAATCAATCTCGAATCTCATTTTAGCGCTAATTAAGGCCCCAATATTTTAACCAGCTATTTTTAATTATTTTACAAAGGTGTTAAATGCTGGAATAAACACCACGTAGGTACCGGGTACCCACAACATATCCATTGTTTTTTCTTGCTTACTAAACCTTTTGAAAGTAATTATTAGACTACTACATCATGGCACAAAATATATTTTTATTACAATAGCCATTTAACAGCAAAAGCCAAAAGGTATTGTAGTCCTTTTTTTCGTAATGGCATAAGATAAATTGTGTTACCGCGTATATAACATTATTAATGGTTTTTAGAAAAAAATTAAATTAAATATTGTTTAATATGTTACCTTCGTATTTAATAAAAATATTGTATAAGTTATTGTACTATATGAAATCGATATTTTTTTATATAAGTACCTACATTTGGGTAGTGGAAAGCAAACTTTAACACAAAAGTACTTATCAAAGTTAATACCTATATAGTAATATTATCACTTATAAGAAGTTATAAATAATTATTATAAAGTCTTTGTATTTGTTTTTTGTGAGATATTAATTTATTGTGAATTCTATTTTTCACCTTAAAATGTGACTTTTATTTTTAATTAATATTTTACTGTGAAAACAATTGTATTTTGAAAATATTGCTTCCTTAATTGTAGATCCGTAAATTATAACGAAATATTCAATTTAAGCTAATGCCATATACATTTTAATATATTTTAAAATATTGAAATATTTTAAAATTAAAATATATGATGTATTATTTTCTTGGCAAAACAAATTTTTTTTCTATTTATGCTTTGTGGTTTTTGATTTATTGATTTCTAATACTAAATTGCTATATGTTTGTGTTTGAAATTTATTTCAATGATCTGCCAGTTCAAAGATGAAAATTCCTAATCACTGTTTAATACAAACTCTAGATGACTTTGATTCATAAATTATGGTTTTTGAGTTTCTTAATTCAAGAATATTTTTCATACTGAGATTTATTATAAATCCCAAGATATCAATAGTAAAATATTTTATATTTATAATTTTATTATTATAAATATACATTATACATGATATTATTTACTATAAAAAAATATCGAAAATAAACGTTATGTATAGACTTTGTTTGTTTATCAACATTCGTGTATATAATTCGAATTAATAACAATAACAAATAGAACATAATAATAATAATACCGAGGTGTGTATTTATACTTAGATATGTACACCTTGAACAACACTGTAAAATATTGATGAATTAATGAATTATACCAAAGTATAGGGTATAAAATATATTTGTATTGGCGATTCTATAGAATTCTCGTATTGATCGAGATTTTACTACTAAATAATCCCAACACCTTAAGATCTAGAATGATTATTTTGAGACACGATTATTAATGTTCAATGCAAATTTTAAGGTCTGTAACAATATTTTATCTAATTGATTAGCAGTTAATAATAATTTAAATATTTTATAAAATTAATGATCTTTGTAACTGATCATTGCAATGACGTACGTTTTTAAATTTAATATGGCATCATTTTTCGGGGCATTAAAATTGCTTCGATTTTAAACTTTGAGGGTGATTTCTGGTTTATATCAAATAAGATTTTATATTGGTTTTAGTATTAACAAAATAACTAAGAAAAACAAAAGAAAAAAAAATAACGCAAACCCAATCTTGACAAAATCGATTTTGTTTTTTTGGTTTAACTCAAAAACAAAAATAAAACATGTGTACTTGCAATTTTGATCAAATGTTTATATTACTATTTTATATTTATAGATTAATTTTGACATTTTTTTATTTTTTTTTAGTTTTTATTTTCTGTAGATATTAATAAAAAGTGTACTTGTAAATGTTTGGGTATATTGTATGCATGCAATGACATTTTCATATTCAATGTTTTCGTGAAAAATTAATTCAATTTACTTATTATTAATAGCAAAATAAATTACTTGATTAATTTTAGTTGTAGGTGATAATCTTAAAACGTCCTATGCAATTAATTATAGGTAATACCTACTTAATAATTTAACAATGACACAAAAATCATATTAATAACTTGGATAACAATAAGTAGCTTATGCTATAATGACCTAAGCTCAATGAGTGTTACCGTGTTAGTGCCTAGTTCTGATTTGATCTGATTTCTGAGCTCTTTATCCATTCCTCTTGACTAATTATTAACAGGAAAATGTAATTGAAGAAGATAATTACTATGCATAATAATGCTTTTAAGGATATATTTAAAAAACAAAATAAGACACGGTTGTTCCCAAACGGGTATAAAAACCTTTGCGGTGATAGTTTTATGAGTGATGAAATATACTCCATAAAAAGATTGATAAATGGAAATTAATTTTTATTTCTGGTATTTTTTTCTATATACAATACAAATACGAAAAAAAATGTATGACTCTCGGGAGTGATCAGACACTTTCATAAATTTTTATATTTCATTTAAATATATACTTCAACGCTGTGGTTAAAATAGTACTTGTAAGCTAAGCATCAACTATGCTTTAATGTTTTAATTAATAAATTATATAAATTATGTCCTTAAATAATTGGAAATATACATCGTGCCCCTGTACTAGGTGCGTCCGTCAATCAAGTTATTATACAATGTTTAAATATTTAAATATTTTGTTTTTTGCTATCAATTAAATATTCAGTGTCTTTTAAAACTGGCTCATTACGTCATTCTTGTTGGAGTATATCGTCTTTGCCTATTAAACTTTGTGACATGCAAGTTTGATTGATTATTATTGTTATTGTTTTCATTGAATATAGACTTTGACTTTGACTCTGATTGTAGTTGATCAGTCTATGTGTCGATGACTATCTAGTAATGATGAGTAAGAGCTTCATTATAATATCTGACATTATACATATAGTACAAAGTAACAATATATATATGCACGCAACATAAATAACAATTACAATTCACAGTGTTCTAATGTTAACATACAAAAGCACACAATACAATATTAAGAGCACTGTATTTTTATATATTTTGTCAATTAAGGTACTCATACATAGAGATACAGCAGTCCATTATCTAATAATACACTATGCATAATTATTAATTATAACTATCGATTTTATACTCCGAAAAATGTGTTGTTTGTAATACCTAGTAGGGTAATAGACGTATTCACAGAGCATGACTGAAATTATGCTAAAGACAAATCTGTACGGTGTGGTCTTTGAATAGCCCTACTGTCGGTCCAGAATCTATTAGCATAATATTATGCTTAGAGTTGTATCCGAATCCGACATAGTACCTACTTGATTTGTAACTATTGTTAGTTAAAAAACCGAGAGCGCTCTTGATGTCCGTGTCATCTGTGTTAAATGTGACACGTTGTAGTTGGTTGTGTATTTTTTCTATGTTTAACAAGTGCCAGTCTGTCTTGTTTTTATTAGGCCACGTACAATAATATCATAATCATAATATTAAAGACAAACGCGGGCATAAAATAAAGCACATATTATTTTTGTTAATCTCTACACTATTATATAAAAATGGAAATGTAATAGGTATAGTATTTCATTTGAGTTATTAATTTGGAAAATCCCATAGTACGATGATATACCTACAAAAATAGATACACACCATATATTATACAGTAAATTGTAGTGGACTTATTGTTAAATGTGAGTAATAATATTTCCTATCTACGGTGCAGTAATGGTCTGACATAAGCTAAGGGGTTATGTATATTTTTCTAGCTTTAACTCTGTAAGAGATAAATTTGACAAAAACTTTAAATCTCAGTTCAACTATACCAGTGTATTCGAAGATTAAATAGGTTATAGTGTGTATTCGCATGCACGAATGTGATGTGTGTGTGTGTGTGTTATATTTATTGTATAATGATGATGTTATAAGGTCTTACAATGAGACGTGGCAGACATATTAATCATATTATAAGTAATCCAGTTTAATATCTAACTATGTTTCCCGATACTTCTATGACAAATCTAATACTAGAGTACAATAGTTTGATAAGTAAACATCAACATAAATAACAATTATTGTTGTGACATAGTCATGCGTTTCTGGGTTTAAAAACTCGACGTCTTAATACAAAATATCCAGACTATCACTTACCGATTACTATTATTATAACCTTAATAAATAAGAACTGTAAAATTTATTATAATAAGTTTTATATTAGAAATATAAATTATTTAAATTATTTTTTTTTGTTTTTTAATGCCATAATGTTTGATGGGTGGCTAAATTTAAAATTTAATCGCGCAAGATGAGTGACAAATTTAACAGAAATTGTGTTCGTATAATTATGTATTTTTCCTCTATTTCTTAATAGTTTTCTTTTAAACACTTTATATTTTTATCCCTATAAAATTAAACTTTAAATATCGAAACGATTAATTCATTTATCGGAGAAATTTGAACATTTCTTCCTTTAAAACAAAAACAATTTTATTTAAAAAAAAAAAAATTAGTTAAATTAAATGTATAGGTATACACCTTAAATATTCATATATTTGGGTTTACAGAAAATTTGGTATCAGAGAGTTTGGCCGTTTTTGCAACATGAAATGTTAAAACCAGACGTATCGGCTGCAGTACTACATCCAGTAATATTCTTAATACAAGAGTCCACTCTTGAGGACTACGAAACACTCATGTTGCCGGCTATGAGGTATTAAATTAATCATTTTTATTCAGTTGTATTTTTTTTTATAATTTACCTATAATTTTCAGCAAAATATTCAATGGTCCAAAACATGTTCCTGTACAAGTGATATTATTGGAAAACTTGCATGTGATATTAGAAAAAACGCCAAGGGACGACATCAGAAAAGAAGTACTTCCTTTATTGTACACAGCATTTGACTTTTCAGACATAGAAGTGCAGGTAAGTTGTAATCGTAATTACTTAAACAGATAGGTAAGGAATGAAATTCAAACCAAGGCGTTTCAAATTATTATTTAAACATTATTTCAATAAACACTAAGCTAACTAGTTAGGTATTCAACAACAAATTAATTAATTATAATACTATGGTAAAGCTAACGATGACAATAAAAATATTTTTAACCTATGTGGTTATTTGTTTATGTATTACTTGTTTATACTGAGAGGTCTTTGTTTCACTAATACATAAATACTAACTGTTATCATAAATTAAACACTGAATAAACTAACTAAACGGTTCGAGTAACATAAAAGGGGTATATTTTATTCAGCACAGCGTAGAATAGATTTATTATTCAGTTAAAATATATTTTCACAAAATTGTAGAGTAAAATTAGATATAAAAATGTTAAAATATATTTTGAGATCTGTTGAACATAAATACGATTTTATATTATAAATGTATCCTCGAAACCAATTCAAAATTTAATTAAGGCACTACTTTTTTAATAAATGATATTTACATAGGTACCTAAAATTTAATATTTAAATCTATTTAAATAATTTTAATTTTATCCAGCTTACATATTTTCATCATGCATACTTTTTCTTTCTAAAACAATTATTATAAAAATAATAGGACTATATATATATTAAAAATCAAATATGGCATTTATTTGTTTAATTTTACATAATATTATACAATATATTTTAAATTTTGAATGTTTCAATTTTTAAATTAGTCGTAAATATGTAGTACCACATGAAATATTAATTATGTTTTTGTCTAATACGATCTGAGCAAAATTAACCTACTCAATCATTATGGAGAAGATGAATATGATTGAATAATATAAAAAGCCTAATTTTATTAGGTACATTTAATATAGCTAATGTCAAAAATTACAGTTTAACTCAGAGTTTTTAATCAGGTATTGAACAACACACACTATTTACTATTCTAGTTTTTTGTTCATGATGTATTTATTTATTCCGTTTTTAATGTCAGTAAAATGTATGCTTAGTTATACAAATAAACGAAGAATTATTATTTTTAATTTAAACTTCTATTACTATTTTAGAATAAAAAAATGAGAATATTATTAAAGTTAACACATTTTACGTTAATAATAAAAATAAAAATAGTTCGTTTAAATTATAAAAACTAATAATATGTACCTAATGTGTATTTCACAATGTTTTAATTTTTAAAATACCATAAATTAAGTATGAGTATTAGCACCCGGACTTCGAGAATTACACACTATTAGAAAGACAGTATCTAAATAGAGATAATAAAATATTTTTTATTCTTCATTGAGGTAAAAAAAAATGTCAAACTTGTTCAATTAATTTATTTTGAAAAATTGTTATGGAGGCCACAGACATATTCTATGATCAATACTTATCAGAAGGTTAATTACACTGCAAAAATATTAGGTCATGTTAGTTTATGTGCAAATGTACTTCATTTATATTAGTATATTTTATATTTTTCAATTTATAAAATTATTATCATATAGTTATGCTTTCTAAACATATTTCTTGATATTTATTAACAATTCTGGTATAATGTTTAACCAATATATGTGTACAATTTTTTGAGTATTTCATAAAACTTTGTTATCCTTTATTAACTCACAAGATAATATAATAATCATCATGTCAGTTGTCTCTGATATAAACTTAAAATTTTTTCCTGTTTCCTGTCAATATTTGTATCATAAAATAAAAACCAACGTGGTTAGTTATTTATTGATAATTTTGTTTCCAAGTATGACATAGTTAAAATACAGAAATTAAATTAGAGCACGAGATGAAAATTATATTAGTTACTATTCTCTCAAGCCCCTCCTACCCACAAACATGATTCTTACTAATGGAAAGCATAGCCAACAAAGCACATGTGCATTGTTTTAGCTCAAAGCAATTTTCAGTTGATATTGTTTGAGGAAAATAATACCTGGCTTCATTATTTGTGCGTGATTCGTTGTTCTAAACAAAGCACGCCTACAAGGATTATTATCATTGATAATTTGTAGGAATTGGATTAAATTGAAACAAACAAACATTTCAAATATTTTTTCATAGTTTAATATTTAATTTTTAATGAATTTATCCATTTGTTTTAAGTCTCTTTCAAAATGAGTATTAGGTACTAAAATTATGTTACTTCTATGTTACATCTAAATGACTTTAAGTATCTATAGCTTTCAAATAATGAAAAACATTATTCAAAACATCATTGTTACACCGAAGAATATATTAAAATTTGAAATTCTTCAATTTTTGAAAAAAAACAAAACAATTTAATATTTTTCCCTTGTTTAGAAACTATTATGCCCTAGCAAAATTTAACAAACCGAATTAAATTCAAATGAAACAAGATATTTATTAATTCAAAATTTAACTTTAAATATACCAGTTAATTAAGAAGCACATGGATAGGAAAATTAATGGAGTTTGCATAGTTTATAACGCTCTTATATACGAAGAATATTAATGTATTGAATTTACACGGTTGGTTTTAATAGGAATACCTACATAATATTTTTAAATCCTGTATAATAATAAAATACAATTAATGAAATACATCTTTAATTATAATAATATGTTCAAAACGTTTTTTTATGACGATAACTCACCTTTCAATTAAAATATTTTAGACCAAAAAGAATAACTTGATTATGTTTACAAAAATATATTTATCAAATTATGTTTAGAGCATTTTTACACATTAACACTTATTTAGAGCGAAAAATGTTAAAAATAAATGTGAACGTTGTTTTAATGTACCTGCACCACTCTGCAGTGAAGCTCAATACTTCAATAAACCTATTTATGATCACTTAAAAGGAAAATCTAATAAATTCTGTTCACTTTTGTTTGTTTGATCTACATTTTGCTGGTCAACAAATATCTCGGTGTTAAATTATCAAAGAACAACAATTTAGGTTACGCATCAAGTTACTAATAAAAAATATCAACTTTTGTTTTTTAAACTGAAATTGGAGTCAACGCAGAATTCCGTGATTATAAAGTATATATTTTTTATTAATAACTACCTGAGATTGAAAAAATATTTTTAATTACATTGTATTTGTGATTATATTTGTGTTTTTTTTTTTTTTTGTGAGAGGAGGTACAAGAAACTATAGTGGATGATTATAATAATAATATTATGGTATTCCAAAACCATTCAAAATGAATTATTTCGCTCATGATTATTGAAAAGAGAACTCGGTATAAATAACGGAAAAATAATGACTTGTCTTCATCCACCACCGTGCATTGTTTGGAAATGCAGACTATTTTTAATCAAATCTGTGCCACAAAATAGTATGAGATAAATGTATATTATATGCGTCTCAACTCCCAAGAAGGATTTTAATCCTAAATTGGTAGTTGGGATCACGTTCAATAATAACAACCAATAACATGTTGTATTAGTAGGCACTATGCCTACATTAAATAATTAATTATTCTTTATTCATTATATTATCATCTTATCCAAATAATATTCTATCATATACAAAAAACACCACTCCGTTAATTAAAAAGTTCCTAAACAACTTTCTAGACAGCGTTCATACTTCACCCCGTGGTACATGAAAATTGATACTTACAATAATTAATTACGAGTACCTACGTATTATCAATTTTAAAATAATATATTTAAATTATTAATATCTTGTACGAAAAAAACAAGCACGTTATTGTGGGTGTACTTTTCAAACCATAATATTATTATAATATTACAAATACCAAAATAATGATTAGAATTAGTATGAAATTATTTTGCTTCGTACATTATAGCATACTGACAAATATCGTTGTAAAAACGAATTGTACACACGGGCTTAATAACACTTCATAAAACATCTTGCCTCTTACTCAATATTCTTGGTTTTGAATTCCTTCGTATTGTAAGTTCATACAAATGGAAAGATTATTTAAAATGTGTTTACGGTTACTGAACGGTTAATTTATATGTTATTTTGTCAGGAATATATTTCCAAAGCAGCGTAGAGTGAGTAAGTATACCTACGTCTGAAGTATTTGCGTTCCCTTTTATTGCCGATTAATGTATTCGTATGAATTAATAAATACTTATATAGTTGGAATGACTCAGTTTAATTCATTGTGTTTAGTATCAAAGATACACGAACGTCATCTGATTTAATGCACACCTAAGATGAAAAATAGTTACTTCAATGAATTTTCTGAGATTTGTTACTGAAAATAACAATTATTCAATATATTTCAATGAGTAGTTCATTTGAAAGTAGTAAGACGTATTCCTAAATATTAGTCTAAGACAGCGGTTTTCAAACTTTTTTGTTGCGTACCACTCATGTGTATTATTAATCTGTCGCTTACTACCCATGTCTATTTCAAACACAATTTAAAATATTCATTTGTTTACTCTCCGTTCTATCACTTTGTGGCCTTTCGCGTACCGACATGTAGTCTTCCTCGTACCAAAAGCGGTAAGCGTAACATAGTTTCAGAACCTCTGGTCTAAGACCATATTATTGTATTATTGATGATATTGATAACTGTCCAAGAACAATTTTATTTATGTCAAATTCAATATAAATGGCGAATATTACGTGCTACCTAACAATATTGTCGGTGTCAACAAAAAAACTGAAAGTATCGTAATGATCATGTCAACCGATGCTATGTAACCGATAAGTATAAAAGACCATATAGGTCCGAAAACGATTTTATAAAATATATAAACCATGTTACAAATGGTGCGACTAACAATACAAGTGACATAGCACGAAATAACGAACACTATTAAAAACACTGTCGACTAAACTTTACCAATTAATGTTATTTTTTTTCCACTTAAGCCAATGTTCTATTTCCTATGTCTCGTCTATACTTGTGCATTTTAATAAATAAAAAAAAACAATAGAACACTCATGGCTATAGAGTAGGTTTTTATCGTTCACTGAGTTTATAATAAAGGTCACTTTCATTAAAAGTGT